ACTAACGAGGAGATCAAAGAAGAAATTAAAAAATTCTTTGAATTGAATGACAAGGAGGACACCAATTTCCTAAATGTATGGGATGCAGCAAACGCAGTAATAAGAGGAAAATATATAGCAATAGATGCTCACATCAAGAAACAAGAAAGAACTCAAAGAAACAACCTAATCTCGAAGCTCAAAGATCTAGAAAAAGAACAAAAAAAAACCCAAAACCAGTAGAAGAAAAGAAATAATAAAAACCAAAGCAGAAATAAATGAAATTGAAACTAAAAAAACAATCCAAAAGATCAATGAAACCAAGAGCTGGTTCTTCGAAAAAATAAATAAAATAGATAAACCCCTAGCCAGGCTCACAAGGGCAACAAGGGAGAAAGCACAAATAAATAGGATAATAAATGAAAGAGGAGAAATCACAACGGACACAGCAGAAATCAAAGAATAATTAATAACTACTATGAACAGTTATATGGAAACAAGTTCAACAATCTAGAGGAGATGGACAAATTCCTACAACTCTACAATCACCCAAAGCTAGATAAAGAAGAAATAGAACACCTAAACAGACCAATTACAAGCAGCGAAATTGAAATGGTAATCAAAAACCTCCCCCAAAACAAAATCCCAGGACCTGATGGATTTACAAATGAATTCTACCAAACATTCAGAGACGAATTGGTGCCTATCCTTCACAAACTCTTCCAAAAAATTGAGAAGGAAGGTATAATACCTAACACGTTCTATGAAGCCAACATTACACTAATACCAAAACCGAACAAGGACAACACAAAAAAAGAAAACTACAGGCCAATCTCCCTAATGAACACTGATGCAAAAATCCTCAATAAAATTTTAGCTATCAGAATCCAACAGTGTATCCATAAGATAATTCACCACGACCAAGTAGGGTTCATTCCAGGGACACAAGGATGGTTCAACATCCGAAAATCAATCAACGTTATCCAACACATCAACAAAAAGAAATATAAAAACCATATGATAATATCAATAGATGCCGAGAAAGCTTTCGACAAAGTGCAACACGCATTCATGATAAAAGCCCTTGAAATTCTTGGGATACAAGGAACATACCTCAACATCATAAAGGCCATATACGACAAGCCAACAGCCAGTATCATTCTCAATGGTGAAAAGCTGAAAGCATTTCCATTAAGATCTGGAACAAGACAAGGATGTCCACTCTCACCACTGCTTTTCAATATAATACTGGAAGTCCTAGCCAGAGCAGTAAGACAAGAGAAAGACATACAAGGAATCCAAATAGGAAAAGAAGAAGTCAAACTATCACTATTTGCAGATGGTATGATAATATACATAGAGAACCTCAAAAACTCCACAGAAAAACTAATTGAACTCATCAATCAGTTCAGCAAAGTGGCAGGATACAAAATCAACATGCAAAAGTCAGAAGCCTTCCTAAACACTAACAATAAATCTGAAGAAGAAGAAATGAAAAAAACCATCCCCTTTATTATCGAAACAAAAAAAATCAAATATTTGGGAATAAATCTAAAAAAGAGGTAAAGGACCTTTACAAAGAAAACTATAAAACACTGTTAAAAGAAATAGAAGAAGATACAAAGAAATGGAAAGACATCCCCTGCTCATGGATTGGAAGAATAAACATTACTAAAATGGCCATCCTACCAAAAGCAATATACCGATTCAATGCTATTCCAATCAAAATTTCAATGTTATTCTTCAAAGAAATAGAACAATTATTGATGAAATTCATATGGAATCACCAAAAACCCCGAATAGCCAAAGCTCTCCTGATAAAAAAAAAAAGAAGGGAATGGAGGCATCACACTCCCAGATTTCAGGCTATACTACAAAGCCATAATCATCAAAACTGCATGGTATTGGAACAAGAACAGACACACAGACCAATGGAATCGAATAGAAAATCCAGAAATAAACCCACAGATTTATGGTCAACTAATATTTGACAAAGGAGCAAAGAATATGCATTGGAGCAAAGAAAGTCTGTTCAATAAATGGTGCTGGGAAAACTGGGCTGCTACATGCAAAAGAATGAAGCTTGACTACTACCTCACACCATACACAATAACCAACTCAAAATGGATTAAAGAACTAGACATAAAACCTGAAACCATAAAATACATAGAAGGAAATATAGGCGAAACACTACGTGATATTCACATCAAAGACATCTTTGTGTCACATCAAAGACACATCAAAGACACATCACCCAAAGCAGTGATAGTGAAGGCAAAGATAAACAGCTGGGACTACATCAAATTAAAGAGCTTCTGCACAGCAAAAGAGACAATAACAAAAACAAAGAGAAACCCACCAACTGGGAAACATTTTTGCACACAACACTAATGATAAAGAATTGATCACAAAAATCTGCAAAGAGCTGATGAGACTCAACAACAACAAAAAAAATAAGCCAGTCAAAAAATGGTCAGAAGAGCTAAAAAGAAACTTCTCTGAAGAGGAAATGCAAATGGCCAACAGGCATATGAAAAAATGTTCAACATCACTTGTAATCAGGGAAATGCAAATCAAAACTACCATGAGATACCATCTTACACCAGTGAGAATGGCACATATTAAAAAAACTAGCAACAACAAATGTTGGCGAGGGTGTGGAGAAAAAGGAACTCTTCTGCACTGTTGGTGGGAGTGCAAACTGGTCCAACCACTATGGAGAGCTGTGTGGAGATTTCTGGACCTACTAAACATAGAGCTTCCATAGGATCCAGCAATTCCACTCCTAGGTATTTACCCAAAGGACACAGAAACATCAATTCCAAAGAGCACCCGCACCCCTATGTTTATAGCAGCACTATTTACAATAGCTAAGCTTTGGAAACAGCCCAAATGCCCAAAAATAGATGACTGGATCAAGAAGATGTGGTACATATATACCATGGAATATTACTCAGCATTCAAAAAAGATAAACACATGCAATTTGCAGCAACATGGATGGCACTGGAAGGGATCATGCTCAGCGAAATAAGCCAGAAAGAAAAAGAAAAATACCGGATGGTCTCACTCATAGCAGGAATCTAGAAAACTTAAATAAGGGACCAGGAAAATGAATAACTATAAGAAAGTGAAAATCAAAATCAACAAAAATTTATGAACCAGAGACACTTTTGGGGTTTGGGTGGAGGGAGGGGAGGGATTGGGGTCAAAATGGGGGTTTGCAATTGTATGGGGAATATAAAAATAAAATCTATTATTTAAAAAAAAAAAAAGAGATCAATATCAGGAATAATAGAGATCATTTCTTATTTCAACAGAAGAGATTAATCTCTAAATGTCAATTTAAAATTGATATGTGATATATATGATGAATCAATTTAAAGTACTCATTAATAAAAACAGACTTTAAAGCATTTATATAATCACATTATATCTGTCATATATTTATACTCCCCCTTTTTTTTTTTAAAGATTTATTTATTTATACAAGAACTGGGGTACAGTCAGAAGCGTGGGAGGGTGAGAGAATTCACCAGAGCCAGAGCGGGGAACAGAACAGACAGACCGATGAAATACACTGCTGAGGGGAGCAGCGGGCACAGCAGGAAAAGTCTGCGCGCCATGTGGGACCCTTGCCGGCAGCCAGGGATCAAACTGGCGCTGCAGAGGCTGCGGGCAGCTTCACAGCCCAGCGCTCAACCGCTGCGCCACCTGGGAGGCCCACTCCCCCTTCATTTTAACAGCTGAAAACATGGGACTTACATGCAGGTCACAGCTTATGAAGGTTGTCAATAAGAATTTTGTTTGTATCAAAACCCTCTTTTTATTTTCATTTTTTTAACTGCATCAGAGACATCCTAGCTTTATTAAAAGGCCTATACTACAGTCATAAAAACACAAAATGTTCCATCAATTTAATAACCCTCACCCTGCCCCCCAAAAAAAACCCCAGTAGTGGAAAATTGAAGTGCCCTTTGACCAGGGGTGTGGGGGGCTATGTCTCATGGCACCATACCTGGCTTTTGATACAGTTGTTGCTATGAGGTTGGGGGATAGCAATTGTCCTGTGGGAGCTACCTTTCACCAGGGTTGAGGATCCTCACTTCTTTTTGCTCAGCTTCTGCATGCAACCCATTTTGTCCAGCAGGCCAGAGGCAACACCTCATTGGGTTTGTAACAGTCAACCAGTAAAGTAATTCCTTGACACTGGGGGCCCAGGTTTTAATACTCTCCATGCTCAGGAGCTCGTCCATATCTTTCTCCAGCTCTGCCTGGCAGTAATAGAGGTGAGTGAGTGGCTCTAGAATCTACTCCTCTGGGCTGAGGTGCTTCCATAGTTCCTTAAGGTCATACTTGACCATGATCTTCCCTTGGCACCTCACAGGAACTTGGTGGTCTGTGATGCCAGGGCCTTATCCTGTAGCCCCAGAAAAGCACTGCAAGAAGACTCTGAGACCTGGGCCCACACTGTCCAGCCAGTGGGCCAGGGCCGCTGTTCACCATGGCAGCTCCAGGGCCAAGTGCATGGGTTGGGCCTCTCCTTGCGCTATGCCTCCTCCCAGCTGCAAGGGCACCAGGTGGACTTGCCCAGGACTGCAGCAGCATGCGGAGCCCTGGGGCCTGGCCTGCCAGTAGCCACCCACGGTCACCTCCCAAGCCGCCCCAAACCTTGTCTTTTAAATGTGCCAAAGAGACCTAAACAACTGTTGGTAAAAATAGGGTTAGCTATTGTGGTTGTCCTAAAAATTATTTTCATGTTTATTGTATTTTAATATACAATGAAAATTAGCTGATGATGTGCTGAATGATAAACATAAGCTAGATGGAGTTGGTAGGTGGCATACAAAATGAAAATTTAACCACAGAACCATATTAGTTTTCATCTTCAAAATCACACATTCCTAGCATTTATGAAGGAAATGATGGATTGCTGTTTTTTTTCTTAATGGAAAAGTTACTCTGTTTCTGTTGTTCTACTTTCTATTTTAAGTTTCACTTGACTTTACTTTTTTTGTGACAGGTATCTTCACACGAGGACAGTTGGGCCTGGTAGACATTATCTTCCAGTACATTCACTGTGGTGAGATCTCTGAGGCAATCAACATCCTGAGCAGTATGAACTGGGACACTCTTGGCCACCAGTGCTTTATCTGTTTGAGTGCCATTGTCAACCATCTTCTTAGACAAAAGCTCACTCCAGAAAGAGAAGGTTAGATTTGAAATAGACTTTATAAATGGGTTTATGTTTACATAAAGCATATTTTATTGAGTCAGTTATTTTTGAGGATGTTTTGAGTTATTAGAGAGTAAAAGACAAAATTATTACTGCCTTTTTAAAACAAAACAAATTATTACTGCCTTTTTAAAACAAAATATCAATTGATTCTTACTGTATAGAATTTGACAACTTTCCATATACTTACATTGGAACTCACAATGCTGTCCTTGTCCATTTCAATCTAAGTTCATGTGTAAAATATGCTCAGATTTCAAACTTGGATCAAGCATTTCACTGCTCTGTAGGGTCTGTATGACAAAAGCCACTAAACAAAAGTCCTTATTTCTCCCTCACTTTAAACATCAATATTTCTCTCACACCCCGGGTTTTTTTGTCTACACAGTAGTTCTTATCACTGTGTGGTGTGTGTGTGTGTGTGTATGTGTGAATGTGAATTGAAGCACAGGCTGCTTTCTTGTCTTCACTCCCTTCTTCCTGCTTAAATTTCCCTACTTTCCTTCAGTAAGTGATTTTGCCCATAGGATCTCAGATTATTATTGTCAAAAGAGAGACAATAGTATATTACATGTAATACTGAAAAAAAATTATATAGTCAATTATCCAGTTTATATTGTACTATATAAGTTATTCACTTAATGTAAAATGTACCTAAACTTTCTTTTTTTTTGTATTATCAAATTTTTTTAGATTAATCATCATTTAGAAAATTTGTGGGGTACAGCTTCCCACCCGAACATGTGACATGCTTCACTCATTCTCCACCAAACTTCTAGTGCTACTACATGCCATGTTTTCCCATTTTATCCTCTTCCTCTCCCCACTTCGTCCCCAGTAATTTCCATATTTTTCACATAGTCTAGAAGTTATTTTTGTTTTACTTTGACTGTTTTCTGTGGTTAAGTACATCCTACAAATGAGTGCTATCACTAGGTAGTTGTCTTTCACTTTCTGACTTACTTCACTTAGCATAATCACCTGGAAATCCATGCATACTTGTCACAAAGGACATGATTTCATCATTTTTATATTTAAACTTTTTTTTTAAGATTTATTTATTTTATTTTATTTATACAAGCACCGGGGCCTCCCCGGTGGCGCAGCGGTTGAGCGCTGGGTTGCGAAGCTGCCCGCGGCCTCTGCAGCGCCGGTTGGATCCCCGGCTGCTCCCCGGCCACCGGAGGAGGGTCCCACATGGCGCGCAGACCTCTCCTGCCGCCCGCTGCTCCCCTCAGCAGTGTACTTCGGTCCTTCTGCCTGCTCTGCTCCCCGCTCTGGCTCTGGTGAATTCTCTCACCCTCCCGCGCTTCTGACTGTACCCGGTGCTTATACGAATAAATAAATAAATAAATTTTTAAAAAAAAAAAAAAAATATATATATATACACACACACACAAGCACCGGTACAGTCAGAAGTGCGGGAGGGTGAGAGAATTCACCAGAGCCAGGGCCTCCCCGGTGGCGCAGTGGTTGAGTGCAGGGTTGCCAAGCTGCCTGCAGCCTCTGCAGCGCCGGTTGGATCCCCGGCCGCGGGGCGAGGGTCCCACATGCGTGCAGACCTCTGCTGCCGCCCGCTGCTCCCCTCAGCAGTGTACTTCGTCAGTCTGCCTATTCTGCTCTCCACTCTGGCTCTGGTGAATTCTCTCACCCTCCGGGTCATCTGACTGTACCCAATGCTTGTATAAATAAATCTTTTAAAAAAAATTCTCCAGAGCCAGAGCAGGGAGCAGAACAGGCAGAAAGACCGAAGTACACTGCTGAGGGGAACAGTGGGCGGCAGGAGAGGTCTGCGCGCCATGTGGGACCCTTGCTGGCAGCCGGGGTCATACGGGTGCTACAGAGGCTGTGGGCAGCTTCACAGCCCAGGCTCAACCGCTGCGCCACCAGGGGAGGCCCATATTAAAACATTTTTTCATTTGCATCTTTATTTCAAATTCTTTGCAATAAATATTGACATTAATAGTGGGAAATCATGCCACATGATTTGGTAACTTAAATCCAGGAAAGCACTAAATCTGTTGAAAGGATTTACTGGAGAGGGTTTTTTTTCCCTCCTGTTTTGTTTGCATGTTTACAGATTCTTTTATTCCATTTCATTATATTTTCAAAGTAAACAGGAAGTTGTTTAGATATAATCCTGTACATAACCATTATTTTAGTAATTTTAAACAATCAGTGAGTACATGTTCCAACAGGAAGCTTTCATCATAGAAGGTTTGCTCAGCTCACAAGAGGTTCACAATAAATAATGACGTTAATTAAATTCACTTTTGGGTAACAATTCAACCTATCTATGGAAATTCCAGTATTTCTCTAGTGAACAAAAGCCTAGCACTCTGTTTGACCCACAGTAGGTACTCAATGAATTTTAATTAAAAATAAAAAGTTTAACTTCAGAGTTTCATTAGGGGACTTCAAAGTTACCAGGTATTACTATAACATTTCTGCCTGTAGAAATATCTCATGTAATTATTTCTTAGTATTGGCACATTATCAGGACTGGGTATAGAGTAAAGAAAGCCTATGAAGGTACACCCCGTCTATACAAAAGAGCCTAACTTCACAGTTGTAAAAGAAAAGAAATATGGAGAATATAAAATTGAATCTCAGAACACTGAGAAATTGCTAGCACCTTAGTGAACATGTGCTGTAAGATTGCTGTATTATAAGAAAGACTCTTAAGGAACTCACAAATGGGCATTAATAAAGGATATTTTCAAGGAACCATATTGGGAAGACAGGGAAATAAAAACTTGTATGATACTAGTAAAATAAAACTCAATGTTTGGTTTTCAGAATAGGAATATTTTAAGTATGTGTGCACATATGTATACACATGCATTCCCCCACCCCCGCCAAGTAACTACAAAACACATTTCTAAAACATTCAGAATTCCTTTCTATTGAGATTTATTCTATCTAAATCTAGCAAATTTGACATGGTAATTTGTTTTCCTTTTATTAGTGGAACCCAGTGAGCTTTTATTTGTAACCATGTTGTGTTATCTTTGAGATCTTCATTTCTGCTTTAAACATCAAGCTGGGCTATCTAATGAATCTGTAACTGTGCTTGGAGTTACAAGTATTCCATAGGCTAGAACGTTTCAGATGTACGAAACATGCTGTCAAGAAAACAAGCAATGGCAAGAGAGTCTGGCTTGTTTTCATAATAACATTGCTGTATTCAATTTTAATCTGAATTGACTGCTGCTTTGAAAGAAAATACCCCTAAAGTTCATCTTACTTTACTGTCTAGATTTGAGATTTAAAAAAAGAAATTACTAACAGCTTAGCCAAGTCCATAGCAATTACTTTGATGAGGTATTTAATATTTTCAAACCCAAATATGCCTAAAACTAAAGAGTTTTACTAAATCAGGAATATTCAACCCGATGCTAGTAGCATAAAAATCAATGGCATCTTACTGTGAACAGTGTTGTTCTCATACATACTCATGTTCTTGCCATTTGGTAATTACATAACTTTCAGGTATTTCTGGGCAGAAACACAACCCCTTAGGCATGTCTTGGTAAAACTGTGAAGCAGGCAAATAAATCCTTTTTCTCCCAATCTCTGGTTTATCAAAAACCATTCTCCAATCCTTTCCTAGGAAGGTGTCAGTTGACCCAGCTCAAATTATCATGTTTTTCCCTCCCAGTGGTGTTAATTTTCACTCTTAGACAAAACCAAGAATCTTGTTGTTTAGGAAAGGATTTAGAGACAGTTAGGGATTTCCATGAGTTTTAAAAGTTTTAATAGATATTTTACTTCATAAAGCTGCTTTTATTTGTATTTTTTTAAACATTCGTAATACTGATTTCAGTTCCCAGTGCAGGAACCTTTTTTCCCTTCAGCTGAAGAGAGTTAAATGTTGAGTACACTGTGAGTTGATTTTACTGGAAATACTAGTTCAAACTGTGTTACTTTGATGAGTCACTGTTTTAATTACCCATTTGTGGTGAGAGGTTGGTTCATTATGAATTTCTTCAGTTTTGACAGCTTTTTGTTGCTCAGAGTCATTGTCAGCTTTGCCTCAAGTGAAAGTTTATACACAGGTTTGTTTTTGTACCAGCTGTCATATTTTAATTTCATCTTTCCTGCAACAAGCTCACATTTCATCCAAGTTTGCAAAACCTGACTGACTGCAAACATGAGTATTCTGTTGTAATTGAAGGAGTTTCACTTGTTTAGTGCTGCTATGTTTGAAATCCACAGCACAGCTTGAGGCAAGCCTTGGAACCTTCTATGCTCCAACAAGACCACTACTGGATACAACTATATTGGAATATAGAGACCAAATCAGCAAATATGCAAGACGATTCTTCCATCACTTGCTCAGGTGAATAGTATCTTTGAATTGATTAGTATTATACTGGTTATTATTTAAGAAAAGGTCTTTCATTAAAATAATATGATTGTTTTCTAATAGCCCATCCACTAAGGGAAAAATCTTCTCTTGATATTCTTAATTTCTTATTTTCCTTTCAACGAATATATTGAGTACTATTTAGGGCTTTTATATCATTACTGTACATTAATATAACATCCTTTTTAATATGGAAGTTAAAAATATGTAAAGTTGCAGATATATAAAACTGATTTATGATTTAATTGTGCTGTTAGCTCCTAGTTTTCATTGAAGCTAAAAATATGAATGTGCTGTTAAGTTCTGAGACAGTCATTGGTTTGCTTTTATTTCAAATTACCATAGAAAGATTTATCTGTTGTCCTCTCCTCTGTGACAAGTAACTGGCTTCACTGTACCTCTTTTCTCTGCTTTAAATGGGTAGTAAGCTTCCTTTAACCTTAGGGGTTATGTGAAAATTTAGGTAATTATGTCAAGAATTATTCTGAGAAAAGTACTTAGGAAGTTGAAGGATAAGTACAAACAGAATATTTCATAAAGTTTAAAAAATAGAGGAATAGGTATAGAAAGACTGACAGTATTCAGATATATGTGAATGGGTCAATATTATAAACTAAAGCAAAGAGTGATTAGCATGAGATTTTAGGATAGAATGGAGTGGATTAAGAAAGAAATGATAGGAACAGGCACATGGAGTTTCCAAGGTAACAGTAATACTCCATTTCTTAAGATGAATGGGGTCTATAACAGGGCCCATTAAAAATTACTCTTTTAGCTGAATATTTATTTTGTATATCTTATATAGATATCTTTATAACAGAAAGTAATAGAATTTTCACTCCATATACCGAAAGTATTACAGTGAGTTGAATTTAGACTTTCAATTTTTGTTTAGAATGTAACTTTTAGTTCTTTTTAACTCTTTCAAGCAATCTCAGATAAAGCCACATGTTTTGTTCCTCAGAACAATCTTGTTAAGATTGTATCATCACTTGACAAATGAGTCAACTATTTAGAAAGTGGCACTTTGATCTCTATCCAGCAGTGAAGCCTTTGGAAAAGTCTTTTTTTTAACTGAGAAATGTTAATATATTTCAAGAATTAGGAATGTTGCCTTTTTTATCTAAATGACTTTAGCATTTCCGAAGAGTCCCTTCACTCTGAAGGAGGCAGTACTTTCTGTATGAACATATGCCCCAAAATACTGACAATGATGGCACATGTATATGAACTTAGGGCTTTAGTTTTTGCTCTTTGCCACTATTTTGTTTTCTGTTTCTGGGGAATATGAATGAATTCACCTCCTGCTGGAAGATCCCAGAGAGATTAGCATGAATCAAGACGTTTTGGAAGCATATTCTTGGTGGCCTCACAATGTCTCTGGCCTCTCAGATTTAACCCAGTCATTTGGCTGTGCATAAGCATTGCATTTCATAAGCTGCTGGCTGTAAAATGCTCATTCTGCTAATAATAACACTACTAGTGTACATATTTTTTATTGGTTTTCTGCAGATGCAGCATTATAATTATTCTTTGGCTGTACTTTGATGAGGTCACTAATATCATCATTATTATACTCTAGCTTTTCTTGTGTGATTATATCTGGAATTGAACATTTTCTCTCTATAATAGGGTTTTCATATTTCCTTTTTTGCATATTTTACTTCTGTTTCAGTTATATATAGTAAGTATACATAAATTCTTTTGACAATAGGCTATCTATGACATTATTTTTAAAAACGGTAACTTCAGAAGACATAAAATGAGTTAGCTTCAGTTGGAACCATTATTTTGTTTAATTGGTTGCTAAGAAATTCTCCCTAGAGAAGGAGAAACAGGCCACATACTTTTCTGTATTTGTCTAGTACTAGAATTGTAGTACTCCCTCTCTTTTGGTTTGCTAGTATTTTTTTTTTAAGATTTATTTATTTTTATATAAGAGCTGGGGTATAGGCCAGAGGCGTGGGGGGTGGTGAGAGGATTCACCAGAGACAGAGTGGGGAGCAGAACAGGCAGAAGGACCAAAATACACTGCTGAGGGGAGCAGCAGGCGTGACAGGAGAGGTCTGCTGCGCCATGTGGGATTCTCACCGGCCCGCTGGGATCGAACCTGTACTGCGGCTGCAGACATCTTCACGGTGCTGCGCTCAACCCGCTGCACCACCGGGGAGGCCCTGGTTTGCTAGTATTTTAATACTCTAAAAAAAGTTACTAGATAATGGAATGAGTCTTTAAGTAAAGATCATCATAAGAAATTTTAAATTTTGGCCTCCCCTGGTGGCGCAGCGGTTGAGTGCTGGGCTGCAAAGCTGCCCGCAGCCTCTGCAGCACCAGTTCAATCCCCGGCCGCAGGTGAGGGTCCCACATGGCGCGACAGATGTCTCCTGCCGTGCTCACTGTTCCCCTCAGCAGTGTTCATCAGTCTGCCTGTTCAATTCCCCGCTCTGGCACTGGTGAATTCTCTCACCCTCCTGCGCTTCTGACTGTACCCAGTGCTTGTGTAAATAAATAAATAAATCTCTTTTTTAAAAAAAAAGAAATTTTAAATTAAAGTGAAGAAGAGGACCTCATGGAGAGTGGTATGAGCCTAAGACCACATCCTGGTAAAGCTGAGAAAAAAAAACTAAGATTGCTGGGTACAGACTAGATTCTTTTGATAAAGAAGTATAAAATATTACATTGATTTTAATTTCATGGAACGGCTAAGGGGTGATGTTACAATATGAATTTGTGATAATAGGCTTATATACAATGTGGGTTATTAAAATGTTATTGTATACATTTATTTTTATCATATGAGTAGAGGATATCCACACATCTCTTTGTTTTTTATCTTTACCAAATATGAAAAAGTATGGCAGCCTCCTTCCAAATTCAAATGAATCTGAACTTAAAACTTTGCATATCCTTTCCTGAGACCTTTTTATGTGTTCAGTCATCAGTTTTCATAAAGAAATACTTGCTTAGCAGGGGTAGGAAGGGACAGTGTAGTATAGAGGGTAACAGTTGGGAATTTTGAATATAGATACACTTTTAATTTGTAAATAAATCATGGTACCTACTGTATTGTGATGTTGTGAGAATTATTATTATATATAATGTAATATAATAAATATATGGTAAATAGTGCTGCAGTAAACATGGGAGTGCAATATTCTTTTCGTTTTCTAGATTCCCACTATGAGTGAGACCATCCAGTATTTTTCTTTTTCTTTCTGGCTTATTTCACTGAGCATGATCCCTTCCAGCTCCATCAATGTTGCTGCAAATTGCATGTGTTTATCTTTTTTGAATGCTAAGTAATATTCCATGGTGTATATGTACCATATCTTCTTGATCCAGCCATCTATTTTTGGGCATTTGGGTTGTTTCCAAAGCTTAGCTATTGTAAACAGTGCTGCTATAAACATAGGGGTGCAGGTGCTCTTTGGAATTAATGTTTCTGTGTCCTTTGGGTAAATACCTAGGAGTAGAATTGCTGGATCATATGGAAGCTCTATCTTTAGTAGGTTGAGGAATTTCCACACAGCATTCCATAGTGGTTGGACCAGTTTGCACTCCCACCAACAGTGCAGAAGAGTTCCTTTTTCTCCACAACCTCGCCAACATTTGTTGTTGCTAGTTTTTTTAATATGTGCCATTCTGACTGTTGTGAGATGGTATCTCATTGTAGTTTTGATTTGCATTTCCCTGATTGCAAGTGATGTTGAACATTTTTTTCATATGCCTGTTTGCCATTTGTATTTCCTCTTTGGAGAAGTTTCTTTTTAGCTCTTCTGCCCATTTTTTGACTGTATTATTTTCTTTATTTTTGTTGAGTCTCTTCAGCTCTTTGTAGATTTTTGTAATCAGTTCTTTATCATTAATGTTGTGTGCAAAAATGTTCTCCCAGACGGTGGGGTTTCTCTTTGTTTTGGTTATTGTCTCTTTTGCTGTACAGAAACTCTTTAATTTAATGTAGTCCCAGCTGTTTATCTTTGCCTTCACTGTCACTGCTTTGGGCCATGTGTCTGTAAAGATGTCTTTGAGGTGCATGTCATGTAGTGTTTCGCCTATATTTTCTTCTATATATTTTATGGTTTCAGGTCTTATGTCTAGTTCTTTAATCCATTTTGAGTTGGTTTTTGTGCATGGGGTAAGGTAGTAGTCAAGCTTCATTCTTTTGCATGTAGTGACCCAGTATTCCCAGCACCATTTATTTTATTTATTTTATTTTTTTAAGATTCATTTAGTTATTTATACAAGCACTGAGTACATTCAGAAGCGCAAGAAGGTGAGAGAATTCACCAGAGCCAGAGCAGGGAGCAGAGCAGGCAGAAGAGCGGAAGTACACTGCTGAGGGGAGCAGCGGGCGGCAGGAGAGGTCTGCGTGCCATGTGGGACCCTCCTCCGGTGGCCGGGGAGAAGCTGGGGATTGAACCAACGCTACAGAGGCTGCAGGCAGCTTTGCAACCCAGCGCTCAACCGCTGCGCCACCAGGGAGGCCCCCAGCACCATTAATTGAACAAACTTTCTTTGCTCCAGTGCATATTCTTTGCTCCTTTGTCAAAGATTAGTTGACCATAAATCTGTGGGTTTATTTCTGGGTTTTCTATTTGGTTCCATTGGTCCATGTGTCTGTTCTGGTTCCAATACCATGCAGTTTTGATTATTATGGCTTTGTAATATAGTTTGAAATCTGGGAGAGTGATGCCTCCATTCCCTTCTTTTTTTTTCAGGAGGGTTTTGGCTATTCAGGGTTTTTGGTGGCTCCATATGAATTTCATCAATATTTTTTCTATTTCTTTGAAGAATGACATTGAAATTTTAATTGGAATAGCATTGAAGATTGTAGATTGTAGCATTGCAATCTGTAAATTGCTTTTGGTGTGATGGCCATTTTGATAATGTTAATTCTTCCAATCCATGAGCAGGGGATGTTTTTCCATTTCTTTGTGTCTACTTCTATTTCTTTTAACAGTGTTTTATAGTTT